ACATATCAAACATGTTTTATATACATCTAATGTTACTACATGTCATATAAAAAATCTACAATGGACATTGTGATGCACTGCCCAGATTTCTCCTTTAGGACTGAAAGATTTATTCCCTCAGCTGCAAAATATGTTGGTAGCTCACCCTCAGCTGTTTGGCATTGACCTAGCTGAAGAGACTTCCAAAGGAAGCCCTCATCCAAAAACTGGTTGACACAAGTGTGTAAAAACTCACCCCCTCCACTTGGGGCAATTCTGAATGGACATAGCAGCCTCCAAGCTTCCTATGGGCTTGGCTGAGGTTGGTTGAGACTGCATTGCTTTGATCCTTTCCATTACATAGGTGGCAATCAGAAAGAGAACTCCCCAATAAACCTGCTCGCTAATTTCCACCTCATCATCTGCTTCTATGACACACCCCTTTATAAAGAATGTCCAAATAAGAGAGCAACCAGGGATGCTTAATAAATTATAAAGTTTTATGACAGCAACACTGTGAAAAATTTTCTAAAACTGTATTACAGATTATGAGAACAAATTCATAAATCTAATTTATAGATCTTTATATTTACGGAAACTGAGATAATTCCAAAATGGACAATTTTGAAGACAGTTAAATTGAATTTGAAACAATCCATTTTATCAACCTTATTTCACATTATATATTTACCCTCTTTGACTTCAGAAGGTCTGATCCTCCAGAAGAAAAAGTAGTGTCCTATGGAAGTTCATAAAATTAAGATGGGTTATTTTGATTATAAGAGAACCAAATCTACCATAACAGAAGTCCTTTAACGTTCTAAATTTACTCTTCTGACTGCAACTAACTTAATAAGCAAGAATAGATGCTGACTCTAGAAACTAAACAAAGCCTATAAAATCACAAAATGTATGTTCAAATTGGGGAGGGAGCTCACAAAAGTTAAGGAGAGCTTGTGAACACATCCCTGAATGTCATGGACTTTTCCAATGCTCCAAATTCAACCAGTAAAGTCATTGGCTGAGACAACTCCCTTTAACTGGGAAACCAGGGCTTTCTGGTTCTGTAGAAATCACCCTGCTGCTTCCCCTCAGGGGCTCAGTCATATTCAGTGTGATATGTTTTAGGTCAAGTTTGGTTTTTCATCATTACTTTTGATCTTAGCCTAATCTCTCATCTCTCTTCCTTGTCTTCTGGTGTGAAATAAGGTGTTCTTATTTCAGAACCTCAGACGTCTTCTTCCAAAATGAATTAAGAAACTCAGTGAGAAATACTTAAAATTGACCTGTGTTTGAAGTTAATAGTGGATTAACTTTGAACTTCAACTCCAATTGATGGTACAAATTCAACTATCTCGGGTCACAGTGTCAGACGCAGAGAGTCACTGCTGAAAGCAAGGTGTGTCCAGTGCCAATGTCCTGCTAGGTTATGGATCAGGATGCTGCTATTCTAAGCCTGCTTAATAGGACTGAGGGCCTTCACTGAAAGGCCGAATTGCTGCACCAGTACTGAACACATGTCTCTTTTCCCCAAAAACTAAATAGCATATATACACATTCTATTTTAAATACTCTTTATGTTAATATTCCAAACAAAAATTTCCATATGTATTTTTCAAAGAAATATTTCATTCATGACATTAGTCAAAGGCAAGTTATTTTTCGTAATTTAATAATAATGTGGCTATTTAAATGAAATAATTAGTTTTTTGTGGAATGAAATTTCTGAAATGTATTAATTCTAAATATATTTTACTAAGCCCAATGTTTTTCAATTAGCGGTAATTTTGTCCTCCCTCCCCCAATAGAAGACATCTGGCAATGTCTAAAGTCATTTTTAATTGTCACAAAAGGGGGGAATGCTGCTGACATCTAATAAATAGAGGCCAAATTAGTAGCCCCAAGAATTACCAGGGCAAAAATGTTAATAATGCCAAGGCTGAGAAACCCTGATTTAATCTAATAAATCTGAAGTTTCTAACTTTGTATATTACCTCAGTTGGAAAGGAGTTTAAGTATGTGAGTTGGCCAATATGCCATCACGTCTACTGCTTCCTTCTACTGACTCTCCTACTATTGTGTGAGTATCTCATATCTGTGACAAAGTAGTATATTTGTTCCACATATTTAAAACCCACCATGATTTAGTTAGAAAGAATACATGGAACAGACTGACAGCTGTCAGTGGGGAGGGGTGTGGGGGGGGGGTTGGATGAAAGAAGGTGAAGAGATTAACCAAAAAAACATATTTACATAACACATAGACATGGACAACAGTGTGGTGATAGCCAGAGGGAAACAGGGGGAGGTGGAGATGGAGGTGGGCAAAGGCAGGGGAAAGTGGGGACAGAAAGAAACTTTGCTTGGGGAGGTGGACACACAATTCAGTGTGTAGATGATGTATGTTTTGGTGAACCATTATCACTCCAATAAATTCAGTTTAAAAAAAGGTATGGAAACATAAGATAAGAAAGTTCCTACTCTGTACCAGGAGTTGGGCTGGGTATATTCACATTAGCTTATGTCATTGTAACCCAGATCACTACTTTTATATTATAGATGAAGGAATTGAGAGTCAGAGAGGTTAACCCACTTGCCAAATATCACGTAGTTGGTGAGACTCAGTGACTACTATTCCAAGTGAGAATATATATTTTTAAAATCATTAATACTTTCTCATATATGCAAAGAAAATTTTTGAATCACTAATGGTTGTTACTACTCAAAGAAAATTTTTGAATCATTAATGGTAGTTAATGGGGTGAGGAGGCTAATTAGCTTTTCACCATATATCTTTCTGTATTACCAGAATTTTCAGTAAGTATATATTACTTCATTTGAAAACTAATAAATAAAAAAGACTCAATTAAACAAATCACTGACATGTGTCTCAAATTAATTTTAGGATTAACCCTGGACAAAATTGTAAAGTAGGAGATGGTCCATGGTGCATAAACCCTCATTTTTAACCCAATTTCCCACTCATTAGCCCTATGCCAAAACTTCTTTACCTACCCATGTTCCAAGAAAGAATCTTAGGAAGTTATTTACATTAAAATTAAATATGTTATTATTCCATGGTGTTCTCACTGAGCCCAAGACAGTATCTTAGGTTAAAGAATGACTCTGTGTTTATCTTTAATATCAGAGAGGTAGAAGAGGTTTGGGGACAAAACCTTTTTTTCCTTGTGGTCCTGACCATCTGTTCAGGCATCTCTTCAAGAAGAGCTCTGCCTTGTGAGCCCACTGCCAAGGATGAAGCACTTCATGGGGAATGAAGCACTTGACTGAACAGATCCAGTGGCTGGCAAGTGCCTGACAAGTCCCAAGTATATAAATGTTTATGGCTTAACAGGCACCAAAAGACCTGCCATTCCCCCAGATAGTCTCTCTCCGACCTGAGGATCAATCAAGGCAGGGTGTCCAATAATAATATACACACACACACATACCACACACACACACACACACACACACACACACACGTATACATACATATTTAATGTTAACTTCAGTAATTCAATGCAATGAGAACTGAGAGTAAAGTTGAATTCTTTGTTAAGCTTTGGGAAGTCAACACTTCCAGAGCTAAGCTGGTGAGGGCTTTGGTCACAGACATGCTATGAGAGTTCCATCCCCTCAAACCCCTTCCCAGCCCCCAGTGTCCCAGCTGTCTCCTAGCTAACGAATATAGATCCATCAAGAATGGGAGGATGATATGAAATGAGCAATGGCTCTGTATCCCACTAATTGGTTGACTTGTGTCCCCCAAAAAGATATATTCAAGTCCTCACCTTTGGTACCTGAAAATGGGGCCTTATTTGGAAATAGGGTCTTTGCAGATATAATCAAGTTAAAATAAGGTCATCCTGGATTAGGGTGGAACTACATCCAATGACTAACGTCCTTCTAAGAAGAGGGAGATTTGGAGAGACAGAGACACAGAAGACAGCTATGTGAAGAGGGAGGCAGAAATTGCAGTGATGCAGCAATAAGCCACGGAATGGCAAGGATCATTCATTCATCAAATAATCAGATTTTTTCACTCAATAAACTACAAAAGCCTCTCAACTGTCCCCCGTTCTTAACCTCCTACAGTCCATTCTCACACATCACACGAATGATCTTTTTGTAGGTAAGTCATATCATGTTAATGCTCTCGACAAAACCCATCTAAGGGTTCCCACCACAGAGTAAAATGCAAAGTCTTTCCAAGGCCCACAAGGTCTACCATGCTCTGTCCCATGCGTCCCCTTCTCTCATGCAGCACCTGCCACACTTGCCTTCTGGTCATTGGTCCTACACCCCAAGGGCCTCTACGCTAATGTTCCCATTGCTGGATGCTCTTACTCCAGCTCCTCGCAGGACCTCCCTGCACCATGACTTCATTCATATCTTTACTCAGTGTCACTTTCTCAGAGAGTCCTTACCTCCCTGTCTAAAGGAGCAACCCCACAATCCCTATTCCCTGAACTTGCTTCTATTTTTCTCAAGGCACTTATTCACTCCTAATACTGCTGGCATTGCATTATATATTTCATATTATTTTTTTTGGTCATCTGTGTCCCCCTATTAGAATGTCAGCTCTATGAGAGCAGGGGTTTTTATCTGATTTGTTAACTGTTGCATCTCCCATGCCTAAAACAGTATCTTTCATAAAATAAGCACTTGATAAATATTTGTTAAACAACAACAACAAAATCAGCAAATGCATTCTATAAGCTGCTTTGTTTTATTTCTTGCTCTGGCTGATAGGAAGCTTAGAGCAAATTCAGTGATGAGTTATAGTAATCTATCCCATCATGACCATAAAGCTTCTTTTTAAATATTATATTCTTATTCTAGTAACCTCACATATCCCCTTTATTTTAAGATATTTCTAAATCTTTTGGAACGGGACAGGAAGACAACAATGGGCAGGTAGGTTGAGTGCCTGGTTGATGCTTGAGAGCCTGGAAAGAGCCAGATGAGAAGGAGCCAATGGGGCTAGGGAGCCAGTGAAGGAGGGAAGTTAGTTTTACCTTTTCATTCCTGCAGTTGTTCAGCCCCATATTATTCATGGAGGCCAGTTTCCCATCAACCCCGTGTGGCTGTTGCTGCTGTTGCTCCCGCTGGATCTGCTCTCGCATCTTCCGAGCCTCCTGAATGGCTTTCATCACCGTATCCTGATCCCCAAACAGGGCAGGGGAGTTGAGACTGGACAGGATATCTGCACACACAGGATGCATTATCAGAGGCTTGTGAGGTGAGAATCTTTACAAAATACTTCTGCTCTCCACTCCCCTGTAGAATGCTGCATTCGCCAAACAAGGAAGGGGCAAGTTTGCTACTAAGAAAATCGCAATACTGTGCACAGAGCACAGAAGGCCAGGGCAATGAAGCTGTGTTGTTTTGTTGGTGATTGTTTTGGGTTTTGGTTTTGTTTCGCTTTGTTTTTTAGCTCTTGGAGGATGCCCTAGCACTCCAGTTTATCTGGGCTGTCAACCCACCTCACAGATGAAGGTTCCTGGATTCCAATTGTGTGTATACATTTATCTGCGCTGCTATGTCTAACAATTAACGGGAGAGTAGAGGGGAAGAAAGGGGTGGGAAGGGGGGACAGAGATGTCTGTTCAGGCTGCTCATTATGTTTGGTGTGCTAATTCCGGAAAGCTGTTGCTGGCCTAGCAGAAAGGATCTGCGAGGCTACATGTGTGCTTCAGTGACATCTGTATGTGTGTGTTTGTATGTCCACTGCAGGAGAGAGGGGGCAGGAAGAAACACCCCACACTCTCCGTTCCCCAGTCACTGGCTGGTTAATGAAGCATTCTACTCATCATGATGCCTCAGTTATTTACCAAGAGAATGACAACCCGTTCCCTGCCCCCAGCCCGATCACCCACTGCTCTCAGCTTCCTGCCTTCCTGACAGTGAGGCTGTATGAGTGGGGATGGTTTTCACATAAGAACAAAGCTTCAAATAAAGTGATAATAAATATTTACTTTCATTATGTTCCATGCAACACAGTGGGAAAATTTTCAAAATTAAACTGACTAATTTTCCTTCATATCTTGCATTATACTATAGGTTAAAATTTATACTTTAGAGAAGTTTTTCCAGTTCTAGAGAAAAATAAAACAATAGCTTGCTGATTGGTAGATTTCAAACCCACTTGTTTGTAACCTGGTATGAGCATTTCATGGCCCATGTCTGTGTCTGTGTGTGTGTGTGTGTGTGTACATGCGCACATGCCTTTGCTTTTAGAAAATATTCCCAAGGCTATCTATGGGAAAATTTTTAAATCAGTCACTTTTTAGGATATAGAAACCCATGTCTTGTGCGCTGAAGCTTTTCTGATACCAAAAAATCTCTCCTATATTGTCTGGAGCAGAGAGCCATTACTTCAGCCCATTTCTAGCTCAGGATCTAAGACATATGCTCTGCTGAAGTATAAACTTCATAAAAGCAGGGCCTGTAACAGGGTTACCTCCATCCCTCACAATGCTCAACACAGCAAATCAATGCTTTCCCAACAAAACTCGGAAATGGATAATAGAGGGCCATTTCAAGACCAAGTCAATTATTATTTACTGATGCTGGCTTTTTCCTCATCTCGCAGCTTCTGATGATCCAGTGGTCACATTCACACACCGGATTTGCTTTGGTCCTTGCTCCCATGCAAACCCACTGACCTGGGCTGAGGATCTCGGGCCCCCAAAAGGCATCCTGACTCAAAATGAGAACAGGCCACTGTGTGGCTCCTAATGTGCAAATTTCAGTGAGGAAGACTCACCTCTGCCTTCGACTCAGCACAGTTCAGCAAATGCCCCAACTGTGGGTTCACAAAAGGAGCACTGATTACGTGGGAGAGGATGTAGAGTCTGGCCTTAGTTCCGCTGACTGCACAGCTACATGGTTGTGGGCAAGTCATTTTACCTGTGAGAACCCCATTTACATACATCCAGGGTAATAACACTACACTACCTAACTCATAAGATTATTGTGAAAAAATCAAATAGGCAAAAATGGTAAGCTGTAAATGGCTACATGTACACATTATTTAACTTACTGCAATAAGCATTTCAGGCTCCAGGACTCAATAACACAAGGAAGGTAATATGGTGAAGAAATGCTAGCACTAGTCCCTAATCCCTTTGAATGTCTGTGTCTTTATTTGAAAAGTGAGAGACTTAAAGAGTATAGTAACAATAAAGTAACAGAGCTCCTGACAAGTTTTTCACAAGCTTCATTCCACACGTACTTGTAAGGGTGCTGGTATTCACTCAGCCCAGCCTTTTCAAACCTTACCCCTTAAAAGTGCCAGACACCACATTAGACAATTTACATGCATTTTTCTCTCTTAATTCTCATAACAACCTATGAGCAAGGTAATAATATCCCCCTTTCAAAGATTAGGAAACTAAAGTTTAAAAGATTAAATATCTTTCCCGGGATTATACAGCTAGTAAGTAAAGGCTCTTAGTCCAAGTCCGTCTGACGCCAGAAGCCATGATTTCCCTGCACACTTCTCACACGGGGTGTGAGCATTCCTAGAGAGACCTGGCCACGTGTCAGCAACTCTAAAAAGCCAGAGGATCATTATATCTTACTATATTCCAATTTTATTTCACGTAGATTTGTTTTAATGCAAACTAATAGATTAGATGTGAAAGTCACATACATTTTAAAAAGAAAACATAACATTTGAAAGGAATTTTGGACTTTTGGTAGGCAGCTTTGAGGCCAGGGTCCCTCTAGGTCCTTGGAGGGCTCATGGTCACGCCTTCTGCACAGAGTTACTTTAGTGGCAAAGCACTGATCGAACACAGAAATTCCCAACAGTCTGATTTGCTGGATCGAATTCATCATCATCTAAAGAACCCATCCCAGCAGAATTTATATGATGGCCTTTCCCAAAAGCTCTAATAACCCAAAGGGCGCCAAATTGGGTTATGTTTCAGTAGGACAGATTTTACTTTTTTTTTCTTTTTCTTGGACTAAGGAACACTTTGGAAGCAAGGATCAGTCATCGCTCAACAGGTGTGGTTTCTGTTACCTAATTCATAAGTCTCTTCCTGGTGTTGACCTTTCCATTTACCTAGAGAGGATCCCCTTCCCAGGCTCCCTGCAATGGGGCTGGGGATGCCGCTTTTGTTGGGCAGGCTGACCGGGCTGGTTTTGCTGGCTGGGAAGAGGCTCTGGGTGGGAGAGGTTGGGGACTTGACAGGCTCCGCTGTCTTGGGTCTGGATGAGAGGTTCAGCGGCTGTGCTGCAGCTTCATCCTACGGGAGTTTAACATAAATAATTATTAAAAAGAAAAAGACAAATGAAGCACATTATCACTTAGCAAGCCACAGTTATTTTACACCTCAGAGACAATGCCACATTCTCCTACAATCATAACAAAAGGAGCTAATTATCTACCTCCTCCAAGATTCATCGGAGGAAACCTCATTAATTTCCCTGTGTTATGCTTCTATTTACATTAACTGTGTAGTTGGATCATTCTTTTTGCCAAATTAAAATCTGAATTAGCTCACATTACAGCTTAATTTCCTAATGTGTTTTCAGGGATCTAAATTAACCTAGGGCATTCACAAAGAATTATTTAAAATTTCAGCAGCTCTGTAGTGCTTTTGTGTTATTCTCTCTAAAAAGTTCCTGGAACTATAAATAGGCCCTGCAGCTAATTTTTTAATATATATTTTAAATCAAACAATTGCCAGTACTTTAAAAATGGAAACACAGGAGGACTTCTCTGATCTCCTGGGCTTCTGCCCGGAGCCGCCTGCCGCAGCATGGCTTCTATGTGGCTTTCTGGGTGTGGGCACTCTTCATGGTCTGTATTCTGGTCTCTACTCATGTTTAAAATTAATTTTTGCAAAGAGTTAGCACACATTATAATTATGTTTTACATACCATGCTATATGCAATTTATTTTTCATGTCTAAAGTGATGTCTCTTTATATCTTTGCTCCATATATTTACAGAATGTCTATTTTAAGACCTGTCCTATACTGAGCACAGGACTCAAATATCTTGCTTGTAACTCTGGTTTAACCAGAAGTTCAAAAGCTAAGCTCCTTGCCATTATTTTGTCTCATTTATCCTGCCATAAAACACCCGTAACAACACTTCCACCATGCTAAAAACTTACTTGTAATATGAGCATATTCATTTAAATGCTCAGTTTTAAGATCTGCATTATTGTGTTCTAAAATGAAATTGTCAGCAAATGTTAAGGCCTGTTTTGCTTCTGAGGAGGCACAGAGAACTTGCTTTTAATGTTATTGTTTAAAACACACAGTAGAGCTTGGAAACAGAACATCCTCCCCCTTGGCAACCCTGTGACCTCTCTGAGGCTCAATTTCTTCATCTGTAGAAAAAAAAAGGGGGGGGGCTGATTTTAGCTGATCTCTAAGGTCTCTTCCAGTATTAATGGTCATTGTTTAAGAGGCAACAAAAAGGGATGCCAGAAAATACTACTCAGGAAGGAGAACTCGAAAAAAATAAAAATCACATTCAACAAAGGAGCCATTATGTTCCAAGCACTGTGCTAGACATTTTCACACATATTAGCTTATGTCACATTCAATAAACTATGAGGTTGAGCAGTATTATTCTAACTTCACAAAGGAAGCTGAGTCAGAGTGATAAAAGCACTGTCCAAAGCTCTACGTGGAAGGACAAAATCTGAATTCTAGTTTATTGGACTCCAAATCCCAGGTCCCTTTACTACTATACTATCAGAGACAATACAGTGGGGCCTTGACTTACGAGTGTCCCGACTAACGAGTTTTTTGAGATATGAGCCGTCTCTCGGCCGATTTTTTGCTTTGAGTTGTGAGCTAAAATTCGGGTTACTAGCCAGCTTCAGATACCCCACCGCTAGTTGGCGCAGCGAACGTCACAGTGAACGCCACAACATCAGCCCAACATCACGTGTCTCACTCGTTCACTTTATGATTTGACATACGAGTAATTTGAGTTACGAGCTCCATCACGGAACGAATTAAACTCATAAGTCAAGGCCCCACTGTAAGTCATTTGATAATGTAGGGATGTCCTACAGTGTTTTTGCTCTTGTTTTGTTCTGTTTTTGTCATGGTAGGAAATAGGTAATCAGACACATCCATGCTGCAATGTTCTTTTATTTACATCTAGACATAGGATAGGTTCTTAGGTAACAATTACATCCTTTGTGAATGTCAAAATTATCCAATATGCTTAATTATAATTTACTTCCTTTTGTTCTAAACTCAAAGGATATTTAGACTAGTCAGTTCCTTTATTCATATCTAAATAATAGTGATTCAGATGCTAGGTTCACTCAGCTTCTTAGATATCTAAGGTCAGAGTTTTCTTCAAATTTGAAAAATTATCAGCAATTACTTCTTAAATATAGTTTTCTGTTCCTTCATTCTCCTTCTGGGGTTTTAGTTGCATATATCAGGTCATTTGATGTCCCACAGCACTGTCTTTTTTCTCTGTATTTAATTTTGGATAGTCTCATTGTCATGTAATCAAGTTCCCTAATCTTTTCTTCTGTAATGTCTAGTTTGTTGCTAATCTCAATCAATACTAATCCAGTAAGTGTACTTTTCAAACAGTGTTGATTTTTTTTCATCTCTAGACATTCAATTTAGGTCGTCCATGTCTTGCCTTATAACTCTTATGTTTTTCTCTAACTTCTTGAACATATGGAGTTTATAACATCTGGTTTTATTCAGCTTTGAATATACTCCAATTTATTTATCTTTATAATTTAATAATTGGCACTTGCACAAACAATGCCACTGGGCACAGGAAGCACCTATCAGCTCCCAATCATGTATCTCTTTCTACCCTGTCAGACCTGCTACTGGTCCTCACAGCTGGTCCTGGCCTGACAGAAACTCTGTGGGTGTTTGGGGGGAAGCAGATTTGCCTAATTCCTCAGTTGGCTATACTTGTCTCTTATAATAGCTGTGTTTACTGTTTTATCTGCTAATTCAATAATATGTATCATTTTGGGGGTCTGGTTCTATTGACTGAGTTTTCCCCTCATTATTGTTCAGATTTTCTAACCTCTACAAAAGCCTGATAATTATTGAGTGGACACTACACATTGTGAACTTTACATTGGGTGTCAGAGTTTGTATATCCCTCTAAATATCTGTGAACTTAGTGCTAAGATGCAGGACAATTTAATCCTTTCTGGACACACTTTGAAGTGCTGTTAGGCAGGTCCAGAGCTGCTTTTAATCTAGGGATAATTTGGCCCCACTACTGAGGTCACACCCTTCTGGGGATTCTACTGGATATGCCATCTGTCAGGAGAACTTTCTACTCTGGCTAATGGGAATTCAAACCATCCTTAGTCCTTTGTGAATCTTACAATTGTTTTGTCTGCTAATCTGATCTTCCCTATTGTTAGATAGTTTCCTCATATGCATATGCTAATCAATACTCAGCTAAATTTGGGGAACCTTCCGTAGCTCTTCAATGCACCCTCTGTGTGCAGCACTATCCTCACTGGCACCCCACTTCACTAATTCCATCCACCTTAGTATCCCTAAACTATGAACTCTATCTCTTTACTAAGGGAGGCTGCCAAACTTCATGTGTACTTCTCCCTGCACTATTGCCTGGCAATTCCCTCTAGATCAGTGGTTCTCAACCTTCCTAATGCTGCGACCCTTTAATACAGTTCCTCATGTTGTGGTGACCCCCAATTTCATTGTTACAGGTTGAACATAATGAAAGCATAGTGATTAATCACAAAAACAATATGTAATTAGATATGTGTTTTCCGATGGTCTTAGGCGACCCCTGTGGAAGGGTCGTTCGACCCCCCAAAGGGGTCACGACCCACAGGTTGAAAACGCTGCTCTAGATAGTAAGCTGAAACAACTACGGTCTTTGTCTCACTTGTTTCTTTTTAGTCAGGGATCACTGTCCTATACTCCTATTGTAAATATCTGAAAACCATTGTTTTATAGATTTTTTCCTGAGTTTCAGTCGTTTAACCTGGTACAGTATATCTGGTCCCTGTTCCTCCATCATAGTTGAAAATGTTAATCCTCCAGGTAGTTCATTAGTATCTCTCGGGATACACCTAGAAATTTCAATCACAAGCCCTACTACCACCACCACCATCTTCTTTATTTCCATCAGATCATCATTAACAGCCTCATCACCACTACATTAACATTTTGCAATACTCACTACATGCTAGAGGATGTATTCTCGCATTTAAGATCCATAATAATATTAACTTTCATTTTATGGAGAACATTAAGTCTGAAGAAAGTTTAAGTAACTTGCCCAATGTGACACGACTGGTAAAAATGATTGAACTGATATTTAGACAGAAGCATTCTGACTTCTGATGTTGAGAATTATAGTGAATAAAAATTCTGGGGGAAAGAAGGTACATAAAACCATTTGTGTCTATTTTTGTTACCTTCAGAGAACTAGCCTTTTGTGATGTAGACATGTTATATACACAAAGAAAGCAAGACACAAACAAAAACATGAGATATTTTAGTGACCATAATTCTTTCAATTAGAAGATTACAAGATTGTTCTCAGAACTTCTTCAATAATAGATAGGAGCTATTTTTAAAATTTAAAACATTTGTTTTATGTTTTGGCCTATATATTTTTACCCACACATACAATAAACAATCTCATATATATAAGGAATACTTCCTTTGTTATTAACATAAAATATAGTCAGGTCAAATTATATAGAGAACTCCCTAAGAATTTGCATGTGGTCAAGTGAGTAATAAAATTCAGTTGGCCCACGAAGCTGGAATGGTGAAAGCAGATATAAACTTAAATTTAACCAGGGAACATTTTACTCATCCAGTAAAGGCTTGGTTTGGTGCAGTTCCATTTGGCCAATTCACTTATAAAATGACTTTTTCATGTTAAAATAGCTAATACTCAATACCTCAAATCACTGATGTTTGATATGCTCATACTCTAACAACCATAATTAAACAAAGTGCCTTGGTTTGAGTTGTAGAGTTCTGACTCTTATTCAGAAATAGAAACTCTTGGAATATAAAAAGTGTGTTACCATAGTTATGCTACCTTAATAAATGTAAACAGCGTATTTTCATATTTCAATATTTCTAACAACAAAGCATAAATGTCCATCTAGTTCTTTGGAGAATCTAAAAACATGGGTGGCATTAAATTAATTCCTTTAGGTGTGGCACAGCCAGACTATCTCTCTTAATGATGTTTACTTTTCTTATCTTTGGTATTAGGATCCATTTCTATAAAGTCCTTTCTGAAATCTCAACATTTCTGTCTGCAAATATTAGAAAATAAAATGATTTCAGTGAGTCTGTAGCATTCAATGCTTTTTTGTTGAGTTTTAGATATTTTCCATGTGAAGATTTAATCATTGCAAATTTTCTCCCCAATGAAGTACTTTGGGCACATTACAATCATACATCTGTGCTTAGCATACTCCTCTAAGTAGATAAGTCAATTATATAAAACAATTGTTTTTCTGAATTGTTTGAATTTGTTAATTCAATATAGGAAGGAAAGGCAAGCATAAAAACCAACCAGTACCACCTATAGGTACCAGCTGCAGCACAAAGTTGGAATGGATCATCAATTTCCCTTAGTCACCAAGTCCCTCATGGCCGCCCCATTCTTAGGCACTGAAAATCAGTGAGGAAAGGTATCTATTAATGTCCTAGCCATACCTTGGGAGAGCCTGTTTATCTTATCACAACCTATATGGCATCAGACATGATTATGCAATGCTACCCCTCATTCTTCAGAGCCCACCTTTCTATTTTTGAAGGGGAGACCTTTATCAGAAAACCACATAAAGCCCAGCATTAGGCTCTTTTTTTGTTTCCCTTTTTAAATCTAAAGTTTGGAGATCCTCCTTCTCTAGTAGTATAAGTTGGCTCCCCACCTGTTTAAGAAACTTAGAGAGAAATGTCACAAGTCTATGACAAACACTGGTAATAAAACCATGGCCATTCATGCCAGTGAACATTAAAAAATAAAAGCTAGAGTCCAAAGGGGGAAAACTCTTGAGAAGTGAGTTTGCGTTTTTAGGTAAAGATCTCACAATATGGCACTATTGTTATCAAACGGGAAACACCTGTTTCTCAGTGCTCAATCATGAAATTCACCATAAAGAGGAGCATTTGGGGATCCTTTATGTTGCTCTGCTTCCTGCTGTTTATTCCCAGCACAGCCTGGTTCACTACCTTTTTTGTGAAGCTATTTTCCAAACTGTTTCCACAATCCTGCAAAGCAAGTACCTTAACTTGAGTTACAGGGCTGGTCCCTCTCTTTTCATTTTTTATCCCAGTAGGTGAGACTGCCCCTGCTGTGTTTGGTGGCTGTGGAGTTGATGGCATCTTTGCTCCAGGTGACACCTGCATGCTGGCCAGCTGAGCGGCATAGAGTTGCTGCAAAACAGGGAAGACAAACATCATCTCTTTAAATGCAGCTGAAATGGAGTTTCAAAAAAACTTACCGTATTGTTAGATAACTATTTCTCTGACAGCTTTGCAATTTCTCTTTCACTATTTTTTAAAGAGGAAAATAAGAGAGATCAAATAATGTAATAGAAAACAAACAAAAAACAAAACAAAACAAAAAAATAAGTACTGGTATGGGAGTCATTGTCCTGTCCCTGGTCCTTCCAGCAATAACTTTATGTCCCTAAACAAAGGACTTGATCACTCTAGAACTCATTCTCTTCAATTGCCCAAAAAGGAATTTGACTAAATGGTCTCGAAGATTCTTTCTAGTGTCTAAAATCTTTACTAAAAGTTCTTTAAAAGTCGGTGTGTCCATTCTTGTAATTTTAACATTCGTGAACTAAGAAACTGATCTGAGCTTTCCTAGGGATTTCCTACAAGAACATTGCTCTCATTCGGTACTGACCACGCTTCTCTGGGACCGCTGATCTCTCTGAAGGATAAAAGTGCTGCCCTCAAGATCCCTGAGGCCCAATGGACATCGCTCTTTTCTCAGGGTCTTATTTCTAGGCAGTGTATACCATGGTCCTAAGGAAAATACAGCCAGATTTATGAAAAAATAATAGTAAAAAAATAAAAGTCAAGCTTCTTTCTTGTAGCACAGGACGTTAAACACTTAACTGCCAATTTATTAGGTTTTGGATGAAATTGGTGACACATTAACTAGTTGAACTGCTAGTTGACCAGAATTCAGATACCTCAATCTTACCACTATTTCATGCTTGAAAATGCCATTTAAATATTTTCTTTTCTTCTTATCAAGAATAAGCCGTTACCTTAATAGGCATATTATATCATAATAAGTAGAAAACTTCCTAGTTTCAGTAACCACAAAGAAAATAGCTCAAACTTTGCCACATTAGTAGGGGAGAAAAAACAGGTGGTTTGTATGTAATTTCCAGTATTACTATCATTCAGATGGACAAATAAAAAAAATTACAGTAATCAAAAACAGACCTTTCAGCACATGTAATTAAATGAAAGCTTAATAAAGAATAATTTTCCAGAGCCAGATGTGCTTATGTCATGATTGTTGCTTTCTTTGGAACAATTTTTCTAATATAACAAGCCTCTAAAGAAATTAAAGCTTCATAATTCTGTGTGTGCAATGACTCAGTGGCAAGAAAAATTCACAAGAGTCAGTCAAACTGCTAAAACTTAGAGGAGTAAAGAGGACTGTCTTTTTTGTTTCCTTCTTATCCTGTTGTATCCTTTTCCTTTGAAATTCAGCCAGATGTCTTCAAAGGGGGGCAAGTGAATCTTACGGAAAATTTTCTGCTTGGTGTAAGCCAGTGTAGAAAAGTTCTGTACTGAAGTGGAGATGGTGGAGAACTAAAAAAGTGTTGACTGCACAGTAGCTGGTATCATGACCAGTATGTCTGACTATCGAGTATTAAAGGGTCATGAAATCTTAGGGAGGCAAGAGTCCTTAGACATCATTAATGCCTTCATTTTACCTCAGTAATTCACAAAATCAGAAGAAAGTCAAGTATCATGCTTTTCAGATTGAAGACTTTAGGTTTGACTTTGATAAAAAGAATCCTGTTTGTCAAACAGATATAGGTTTAAAAAATAGTTTCACAGCTCACCTGCTAAGCTAACATCAATTGTATATGTTTTATATGCAGGGCTCTGTGTTAGGCACTAAGGAAGATGCAAAGTCTTGGAACAAACATAAAGTTGTATAGGAGATGTAAGCTATGGATCCTTAATGCCTAGCTTGCACCTTCCTTGTGATGCTTATCACAATTTTTAACCTTCTGTTTAGTTATGCACATGTCTTATCATCTTTGATACACTGTTAGCTTATTGAAGTCCCGATCAATCTAATTATGTTTTAACTAGAGGCCTGATGCACGAAATTCATGCAAGGGCTCGGCCCTCGCAGCCCTGACTTCATCAGGAAGGTAGTCTGGAAGGACGTCCGGAAGGTCATTCAGCTGTCTGGTCTAATTAGCATATTACACTTTTATTATTATAGATGCCAAGCATCAAGAACAATGCCTTGCAAATAAATGATAACAAATCAATATTTTCTGAATTAACTAACAGTGTTTAAAACCACTGGATGTTAGGAAGGTGAAATATTCTCTTTCTATAAATGAGGCAACAGAAGTGGAATATGATTATATTTACTATGTATGTAATGAATAGTTTTATGATGTTGAGTTTAAAAAAAGGAAAATAAATTCAGTGCAAATTAAATTATATTGTTTCACGAGAAATGATTCATGTAAAGTTGTTTGTTAAAATGTCAGGTAGATAGCTGCTCAATAATTGTCAAACTTTTCTAACACAATTATACTGCTCGAGCAGTAACTGTGGAGCAGCACCAAGTTTTCTTCTCAGCCCAGTTACTTATAAATTTAAACGTTTCTCTAAATGCTACTGTATCTTTTTTTGAAAGAAGATAAAATATTAGTTATTCAAAAAATAATTTTAGCTAGATCACTGCTTTACAGACCAATTGTTTACATAGGGAGAAGGTTAAACTCTGATTAACTATCACATAAGAGTTTATAACATAGGATTCTTAGATCATAGTTATTGGTCATAATGATGATAATAATGAATATTCATTTCCAAATACAGTTGAGGTTTTTAAAAAAATCAACAATGTAGTAAAGCTTCTAACAGGCTTAGCCAAAGTTCACAAACATTTAACATTGGGTGAAGAGTGTTTTTATAAATATGGATTGTTCCATTTCAATTTTGAGAAATGCTCAGTGACTGTTTGGGATACTGAATTATTTCTTTTTCCACATATGTAAAATAAATGCAGTGCACATAAATGTTAAAATAAGTCTAGCTAAATATTTTTCAAAATTATAAAATCACTCACATTTTAGAGGAGCACTTTTACAAATGCTTTTACTATTTTACAGCTAAAAATATTCCACCTATTTTATGAGTTCATTTTTAATAAAGTAGTCAGCATTAAAATTTTGGTAAGCTGAGCATTGACATATTTGGCATCTAAAACTGAAAGGACTTTAACATATCATTTAGCCGAGTCTGACCTCCCCATTCTACTGATGAGCTGAGGTCTAGAGAGCAGAAGCAGCATGCCCGAGATTGTGTAAGTGCTTAGGACTCACTCACTCCAATGTTATCATTAAAAGTACAAATGGATATATGATGAAGCAACCTTTGCACCTTTCAAGCATGTTTGCAGCATTGATGAATGTGTTCAATGATGGATCTTTATTACCTGCTCACTATTAACTAAACACTGTGCTAAAAACTAGAGGTACCACAACAAGCAACTCAGAAAATAATCCCTACCTTGATGAAGCTAGAAAGAGAAATATATTAAATAAATGCTTAGACAGTAACTGTAAATTATGGTTAAGATAAGTGCTGAGAAAGGAAAATACAGAATGTCAAGAGACCATCTAATAAGGGTATTTAGCAGAGTCTGGAGGATCAGAATAGCTTCTCTAAGGAAGTAACATTTTAAGTAAGAATTATCCAGGTGGAAAGGTTGATAATGAACATTTCAGAAAGAAGAAACATCAATTATTATGGCTCTGAGGTAGGAAAGAAGGCAACATTTTCAGGGAACTTTAAAAAGGCCAATGTAGCAAGATTGTTGCGTGAATGCGGAGTGGGATGAGAAGAGGCTGGAGAGGAGTAGGGCCTTAGAGGCCACATTAATAATTTCAGACCTTATCCCCCAAATAGAAGTATCTACAAAGAGGAATGAACTGAAACCAAGACACAACGAAGTTTTTCTATGATTTACCGCTAACTCATTGACCGATCTTTTAATTAAATTTGATGAAGATCTCACAAATCCACAAATATATACCTCCAATAGTAATTATAGAGTTTTTGTCCTGAGACTAGCCTTAAAGGACAACCTATCTTGCATCTGGATCCTAGTGACACTTAAATAACTAAGCCTGCTTAGATTCAACACAAAACAGTAGGTCTTACCAACCAAACTCAGCCTTATGGTAAAATTCTTGAGTGTCTTCGAGTATGCACACTGGTCTATGGCCCGGACCTAAGAAATGTATTGTGTCAGAGTCATTTTATAACACTATTGTATTTGGGAAGAGAGGCATACTTTGCCCCCAAAACAGAAAAGTTCATGTCAAATTATAATGGGTGGTGTCACAATGTACCTGATATTTACCCTAATGTGAAATATATATATATATGGAGTGCGGGGGGCGGGGGAGGTTCAAGGCCTTTTTTTCTCATAATCACATGGTTTTCACATAACCACTTAATGGGTCATGCAGTCATGGGACATCACTCCCATTCATTCATGTGTTAATTCAACAAACATACAGAGCACTAACCTAGGTACTGTGCTAGGCATTTTCCATTTATTATTTAAACTTCAAAAGCATTATATAAGATAGGATTACCCATTTTAGAGTCAGTGTCACTTTTAAGCCCATGTACTTTCTGCTTTTTCGGGTTAAAATTAGATTATTTTAAATAAGCTATACAGTGAATCACAATGAAACCCATTTCCTGTCCCTAGCCACAAGACAAGGATCATTGTCCAAGGAGAAGAGAGACTCTGAATTTGCTGCTGTTCTGAGCTCTCAAATAGCAAACTATAATTCCAGATGTCTTACAGCTACTTCTTCTAAAATGGCATTTCACAGTCCTCAGATGGAGACCACCAGCACCTGGAAGGAGCAAGAGGCATAATTTTGATCCAAACAACTCCCTTCTCCAACCAATCTCTAAGCCATAACATAAGACACCTGAAATACCCTAGTGACACATGTTTTAATAGACTGATAAAGTAAAAAGAACCATGCAGAGTATGGGTAGAAATAGAAGAATTTGATAAAATGGACACTAACAGGGGCTTTAAACTGGCACCAGGATGCTCCAGTATACAGAAACCAACAGTAAAGAAAGCAGGCACAACTTCACACACTGGTTCTCTTTGGAGTAAA